CGTTGTCTTTGTCTTTCAGTCACTGTTACCCCAGAGGGCGACTGCAGAGCAGAACCTGCCTTTCGTAGCCTCCCCGCTCTGCGTCGGACTCCAGAAATATTCCTTATTGTCTCCCGTCTTTCCTCCTCCGCGCCCCCGCCAGGACGGGATCCTCTTTGGCACCGTGGGGGCGTACGACTGGGATGGTGCCGTCCTCAAGGAGAGCAGGCACGGCCGGGTCATCCCGCCCAGGAAAGCCTTCGAGAAGGAGTTTCCGCTGAAGCTGAAAAACCATGCTGCCTACCTAGGTGAGGGGCGCCCCGAGCCCTCTTCTCCCAGGGCTGAGCAGCCTTGGGCGTCTACTGCCCCGCCTCTCTTTGTCATGTGACTTTTGGGGGCGGAGCCAAGGGCCTAAGACACGTGGGCGAGTCAGGTCTCGTGGGCTGCAGGTCATGGAATGTCTCAAGGTCACCTCGCCCAACCCAAGGGCCACATTTCCCAAGGGATTTAGGTGCCTCACTCACAGCAATGTTCTTACAAACCCCACTTGACCCTGAACTGCATCTTGCCTATATAGCGTCAGAAACCTGGCCCTAAGCCGCTGCGGTTTATTATTTGTACTGGGGGCGCACCTGGGAGCCCCAAGCGTGGGCCGGGACCCTCTCGCGCTGCGTGTTGTACAAACCAAAGGACAATCTGGCTGTTATTATGAACTGCCAGCTGGCTCCTGGGCTGCGCGTGGGCGAGGTACCAGCCCTAGGAGGCATGTGCCACACGGCTACCCCTACCCCACATCAGCCTCTCGAGGACTGGGAGAGGGAACAGCTCCGTGCATTCAGTCACTGTATGAATTTCTTTTTATTTGCCGTTTGGTGGCTCCTCACACCCCTCCTGGTGGTGGGAGACACTGTACAAAGAGATGGCCCCTGCCCCATTCTTCTCTCTCTGGAAGGGCTGTCTTCAGACTAACGTCCCCGCCAGGCAGTGCCACCGATCAGTAAAACCCATTTCTCTGCGTCAGCCCCCCAGTCCCACCAGCTGCCTGCCCCCCCCAATCCCAGGAACCCACGGCCCGCCCCGTAGAACCGCCCTGGTGTGCTCTGCTGACGGGATCTCCTCTCTCCGGGACAGGTTACACAGTCTCCTCGGTCCGGCTGCGGAACGGGAAGTGTCTCTACGTGGCGGGGGCGCCGCGCTTTAAGCACAAGGGGAAGGTTATCCTGTTCGAGATGAGCAACAGTGGGCAGGTGGCCATATCCCAGGCTCTCACCGGGGAGCAGGTAGGGCCAAGCAGCCTGCGTGGCGTTGGGATGTGTCTCTGCAAAGAGGCTACCTCTGCTCCTCCAACGACCTGCCAGTGAGGCCAGACCCTGAGGCACTGGGGATGGATTCGGGAGCTGTTCTTGTGCAAGAGGCCAGTGTAGACAGGCAACGTGAATTTCTTGCACAAGAAAGCCCGCTGGTTAAAATGGCCATTGGCGCTTTCTTGCACAAGAGAGTGTCTACACTGGCACGGATGCTTTTGCACAAAAGCACCTGCCAGTGTAGACGCTCTCTTGCGCAAATACTCTCATGCAAAAACTCTTGCGTTAAAGAGTATTTGCGCAAAATCTTGCCAATGGAGACGTAGCCCAAATGTTTCCTTTTGTCGTCTCCCTCCCCCGGCCCCCAAGCTTTTTGCCAGTCTGAACAGCTTACATGTCAAACTGAAAAGCCACTTGGCCCTGGAAAGCTATGAAAGGCCAGTCTCTGTCTGGGAGAATGCAGGCTCTTTCCCCCCACTCCCAGCAGGTTTTTCAGACACATTTCTCAAACTTGACCCTCCTTCGGGAACAAGTTTGGGGGGGGGGAGGAGATGTGAATCGGCCTTTTTCCAGGAAAAAAAGCATTCTGTGAGAAATTCCCACCAGGCGCAACTGTCCGTGTGTGCGTATAAAAAAGGAAAGTCGGTGTTCCCTCTCATTTTTCCCACCATTGCGTGGAATGAATTTTGCGACGTGCACCCTAGTGCATAATGGTGATAATGGATATGATGATAATGATTGGCGCACATCACAAAATTAACATGGTGGGGGCAGGGCTAAGTTGTTCGGTGAGAAATTCCCACCAGGCGCAACTGTCCGTGTGTGCGTATAAAAAAGGAAAGTCGGTGTTCCCTCTCATTTTTCCCACCATTGCGTGGAATGAATTTTGCGACGTGCACCCTAGTGCATAATGGTGATAATGGATATGATGATAATGATTGGCGCACATCACAAAATTAACATGGTGGGGGCAGGGCTAAGTTGTTCGGAGTGTGCAAATACAGTTAGCGAGTATGCTCCCCGTTCATCAACACCTGGACTGTAGTATTTGAAATGAGATATGGGGAAGTATAGGGTGGATCCAAAGACAAACCTAGAATAAACAGGTGGGTTAAACTTCAACTTCAAGTAATGAATAGGAGGCTTTGGGCTTGAAAACAACCAAGCTATATCTACACTCACGGCTTCTTGCACCAAAAATATGCAAATGAGGCTAAGCATGGAATATCGCTGAGCCTCATTTGCATACCTAATGAGCCACCATTTTTGCAGAAGAGGCTCTTGCGCCAGAAGAAGCTGTCTACACTGCCCCTTATTGCGCAAAAAAACCTTTTTGTGCAATGCTGTTACGCCGATTACTTTTCAGGAAGAACGGCATTGCTCACGAGGGTTTTTGTTGTGCAAGAAGGGACAGTGTAGACAGCTCTTTCTGGTGCAAGAGCCTCTTCTACAAAAATGGTGTCTCATTGGGTATGCAAATGAGGCTCGGCGATATTCCACGCTTAGCCTCATTTGCATATTACTCGCTCAAGAAGCCGTGAGTGTAGACATAGCGCTGGTGATGTTCTCTCATGAGGCTGTGCAGGCTGCCTGGCGAGCAGCAGCACTGGTAAAGTTGCAGACAGTGCCCCCTACTGGGGGTAGAATGCAGTTGTACCTTCTATTCCACGCCCCTTCCCACCTCTTATCTCCCAAAGCCGGCTGGCTCCTTTGGGATTTTGTCTAAGTACGTCCACACTGGCATGATTTTCCAGAAATGTTTTTAACGGAAAAGTTTTCCGTTAAAAGTATTTTCAGAAAAAGCACATCTAGATTGGCAGTGGG